ACCATGCATGCGGTACCGACTCATTGGTTCATTCAATCGAACCTGGATAGATCACTTACGCTCCTCCTGAGACATGATCTATCCCCCACCATTCTCCACAAAGGAGTACGGATGAATCACTTACGCTCCTCCTGAGACATGATTCATCCCACCAAAACACCATGATATGCAAGACACCAATGCATAATTATTATATTCTGGCACGCTAAGTGCACACGATCCTCCTGATCATATCATCATACAACAATGCATATGTATAGATATATTACACCAACACCATATAAATCAATCAGATAGTAAACGAATTCATACTATCACACCGGATATAACTACGTCCCCCCCCCCCCACTCGGGGATACACGATCCTACTGATCACTACACACATATACATTACTAATTGCTCACCAACAATATTAAGGGAAACACGTACTATCCCCAAGTACACAAGTTATATCCCATACTCATCATTTTCACACTACAGCAAGGCTAGAAGGATCACACGAGACCAATTCAGACATCTCACCGAAAGTCTCTGAGGTTACTCAGAACCTCCCTAAACCAACACCTCAGCCTATACACCAAAATCAATAATTCATCAACATCAATCCACAATCACAAACATGCCAATAGATATTATACTTACCAATTATCCTATAATTTCTACTCTAGAACCGACATTACGGTACATTACCGACATTTCAGAGTCACTCTGAATCTCACCAAGGTCCTAACCATAGTCATTAACGACGCTATAGGGAAACAACACATAACTTTTCCCAAAGCTATAATCACGGTCATTGCCAACACTACGGTAACAACACATAATCTCATCAGCTTTATATTCCTAGTTACTATCAACACTACAGTAACATCAACAATCCAACAAAATGGATCAATACTACATTAACATCATCACCATATATATATATATATACCCCAAAATGCATCATCAGCATTCATCAATCCCCCAACATCAACAATAATCATAGCATGCCAATATAAAACTTTATATAACGATAAATTCCTACGGGGTTAAGGAATCCCCTCTACCCTATACATGTATAAACCATTCCCAATCAAATTTCTCCCCCCTTACCTTGACAATTGGTCGATCGATAGAATTCCTCCTAGAATTGGTCTCTTGGCCTTCTCCTTCCTCTTCCGTTCTTCGTTCCCTTTTTCCTTCGTTCTTTTTCACTTTCCTCGTTCTTTCCTCTTCTCTCTTTCTATCGCTCTTTTTTCTCAATTTTCTAAAATGTATCGTAACTCTCCTAACCCCTCATATTCTATTTCCCTTTTTAATTATTCTAATCCCAATAATAATAACTAATAAAATAATATAATATTAATAATCTTAATAATAATAATAATACTAATATAATCTTACTAATATTAATAATACCACATATTAATAATAATAATAATAATAATAATAATAATAATATTAATAATTCTAATAATAATAATAATGATAATAATAATAATAATCTTAATAATAATAATACTATTAATAATAACAATAATAATAATATTATTATCTCTCCAATAATCATAATAATACTTTTAATAATAATAATAATAATAACACTAATAATAATAATAGTAATAATAATAATAATAATAATAATACTATTATTATTATCACACCAATATCCCACGCCTATGGTCATCCTTTTCCTCTCCATTCCAACTTTTCTAATATCTCCTTGCTACACCTTCATATTTCCTTCCTCACGGTTTCTATCGTGACTTTTCATATTTCCATTCTAACTTCCCAATAACCCTTTCACCTCTTATTTTACTTACTCCAACCACTAATATTCCCAATAATAATTCTAATAATAATAATTATAATAATCATTATAATAATAATAATAATAATAATATAATATAATACTATTATAATATTATAGTAATATTCAACATAATAATAATAATAGTGATACACCCAACAATAATTATAATTATAATAATAATAATATTATCACACCAATAATAATAATAATATTAATAAAAATAATATAATAATAATATAATAATACTAATATTATTATTTCACCAAAATAATAATAATATTAATAATAGTAACAAATATAATAAATATAATAATAATAATAACACCCCCACCAATGTTACTATTATTTTTATATTACTATATTTCACACCAAAATATCACCAATAGTCCTCCCACATTAGGGACACCCACCAAACATCATCAAATACACCCCCACCAAAGGGCACACCAACATATAATTTTTAAAATAATAATAAAGTGACTAAATAATTAAAATGGGTGTTACATAGTGCTTGAGGGGCTCCTGTTCTAGACTAGGCCTGCCCATCTGCCGGGCAGGCCCAACCCAATGCTATTTGGGGAAGGCCCAAATCCTCAGTGTCGAGCACGGGTTTAGACACACCGGGTAGGCACCCTCCCTCCGTCGGGCAGAACAAAACGTCTTCCACACGTTCTCGACGTGCGCCCTCCGCGAGGACACGTCATCAACTAACTACCCACATCCGAAAGAGTTGGTCAGCCCACCTTCCGGAGATCACGGGACGATTGAACTAGGGTAAAGACCATGTGCTGGTCTTCACTACGCCACTTAAGCCCTAGCAATCCAGTCCAACACAAGTGACCGTTGGCCCTGTATTGGGGTCTCCATATAAATACCATCTTTCACTAGAGGGTCGGGTAATCAATTCTCTATTTCTCTTCTGTATTCACTCTCACTCTGGTCCATTACTTACTTTGACATCAGAGTGCCTTGTAGGTACACCTCCCTCCTCCTCCCTACTTCTGACGAACAACCTTCAAATCGACGACGCGTGACAGGTCATTGATTCCCTTCTCAGGTAAGATCATATACTATTTTTGATTTTGGGACTAAACATTTTAAAATCTATTTTCAAATAATATATAATTTTTTGGTGTACAAATAAATGTATAAGATAAATTCGTAAAATGAAAAATGAGAAACAAAAGTTGTATAACCTAATGTGAAAAAGAATAATATTGTAATTGAGAAAATATGAAGAAACGTAATGAATCTTTTATACTTTATTAGAATTTAAGAAGTTAAGCAATCTATGTCGAGTAATAACAACAACAAAAAAGTTCATGCTTTCAACCGATATTTTAAAAGTGTTAATATCCAAACAAAGAGATACTAAAAGTTTGCAATTTTTGATATTCTAATTCTAAAGTAAGATGACACTTAATGTTTTTTTTTTGCCATTAAAGATTTTTTTTATGAAATATATGATATCAGTCAAACATAAAAAGTTAAAAATTGAGGTAAATTGCATTTATAAAATTAAATTAATATATTATAATAGTCAAACATTAAATTATATTAATAAATATGAAGCAATTAATAATATTCAAATATATGATTTCAGTCTAAAATCAAAAGTTAAAATTAAGATTAATTGGATTTAAAATCAAAAAATTGTTTTAGTTAAACTCAAACATTAAATTTTGTTAATAAACAAAAACCAATTAATCATAAATAGTTTTGAAAAGAATTGGCACAAACTTTGGGTCTATGCAACAAACAATCTATTGAATTAAATTAAAATTAAAAAAATAATATATATATATATATATATATATATATATATATATATATATATATATATATATATATATATATATATATATATATATATATATATATATATATATATATATATATATATATATATATATATATATATATATATATATATATATATATATATATATATATATATATATATATATATATATATATATATATATATATATATATATATATATATATATATATATATATATATATATATATATATATATATATATATATATATTATTTAAGTTTTAAAAAAACGTGAGTTCCACTTGGCTCATGCGAAGATTTCTTAAATGTATTGATTAAAATAAACAATCAATAAAGAATGTGTTAAAATAATTATTTTAACAAAATAAATAATTAAGTTTAATAAAGAAAAATATGTTAAAATAAAACAAATAAAAAATGATATAGATAAAATAAAAATATGCAAGTAGATTTTAAAATATTTAAGAATGTAAATTTTAACTCAACTAATAATGTTATTAAATTAAATGCTATTATTGAGATTCGAATTTTGGTATTCAAAATTGTATACGTGAGTTTCTAATGGTTATTAATGTCTTTGGATTAAAAATATCAATTTTATAAAAAATATTTTTAAACTAGTTATTAATTAAAATTTTAAATATAACACAATTAATTAATTCACAAAGATGTCAGTTCAACTAAATTTACTGGAGAATTTTTTTAACAAAATAAACAACCAAATAATATTTAAATTATTATTAGAATGCAAAAGCAATATTTAACTATTAAGATAACTATCATAACAAATAAAAAGATTAAGTAACATATAAAATCCAACAAATAACCTATTAATATTATAAAAAATATATTTTTTTGACTAAGTTAGGTTTATAGTTTAAAAAAACAAAGTTACCTTAAAATACAAAGAATAAAAAACTTCTACCTATACAATGAACCTTCTCGAAATCAAACAAACAAACTAAATATAAAAAATATTTTATTTTATTTAAAGTTTTTTTTTCCCATAGCCCAACAAAAAACAAAAAGTAAAAAGCATCAATCACTACCACAACAGTGTCCACAAAATCACCTAAATTCTAGTGCTCCTCATCACAAACTCTATCTTCTACTTTTTAAATTTAAAAATATTTTTAAATTTAAAATATTTGTTTTTATTTAAAAATATTAAAAAAAAAAAAAAAAACAACCTTATATATTTCACTATCATACGTTTGACACATACACATAATAGTTTCACGCTTGCGTGCTTTCTCCATCTATCTAGGAAAAATCGTTACACATTTGTATCAAATCGTCACAAAACCAAAAACCAAATCATAATATAAAAGCACACACAACACACAACATCATAACAAGAAACAAACAAACCCTCCTCGTTTTTTCAGAAAATAACCAAACATGGCTGAGATTCATGCCAGAACTGAACCTCTTATTGATCAAGATGCTGCTGGCGGTTCTTGGAAACTCAATATCAAGGAGTTTCATCTACCAACCCAGAATGTTGCTGATCATCAGAACAAAAGCTCTTTCGGTTTCAATAGCCTCCTTCGTAAGCCTAGTGAGTCATTCTTAAAATTTCCGAAAGTTTGTGTTTTTAAATTTTTTGAACTGATACTGTGCGTTGTGAATTTTTGTTTTCAAGTTTTTCATCCATTGTATGAATAAAGTTTTGATTTTTATTTTTTAGGGTTTATTTGGTTTAAAATCTCTGCTTTTTTGTGTTGTATGATTGTAATATTAGTGGGAATCTTTAATAAAGGAAGAGCTTTTTATGGTGGATATTCATCAATTTAAAGTGCTTTTCTACTTTTATATAATAATAATGACGATACTACTTTTTTTGAAGAATTAAAATAGATTTTCATGTTAAGTGCTTCTGTTCCGTTACTTGTTCACTACGTACCACTGACATTTTTTAAAATTGAAACGTGTCAATGTTTATGTTTGGGATATCAGTGCTTCTTCGTAGCATAATCACATAAAGGGTGTTTGATTTCACGTTATGGAGAGGCAAAAGTGATTTAATGGTGTCTTTGACATGTTTGGGTGATGTTAATTAGAATTGATTCTGTTGTCTATAGAATATATTATAAACTGAAGTTAGCATTTGTAGCTTAACTCTAAACGTGATTTTTAGTGACTCAGTAAAAGTTAAACCGCTTGTGTTTCAGGGAAGCAACGCAAGGTGGCGGAGTATTACAAGAACCAAGAGAGACTCCTTGAAGGGTTTAACGAAATGGAGGCTATGCATGAAACCGGTTTTTACCCCGGAGGTCTCACCGAGGTAGTTTGTTCTATATATTACTATGATTTACTCGTAATTCGACAGAAAATGTAGATGCAATTTTACTAGTTTTGATGCGGGTAATGTTACTTGACAATACTGATGATTTCGGATTGAATGCGATTGAATGTTGTTGATGAAGGATTGAATTTAGTCTAATTAAGAGGATTCTACTAAATAAAATTGCATGTATTTTTCTCAGGATGAAATGAAGCAGCTTGCAAAGAGTGAGAGGATGGCGGTTCATGTGTCAAATGTGTGTAACTTGGTGCTGTTTGCGGCGAAGGTTTTTGCGTCGATCGAGAGTAGATCATTGGCAGTCATTGCATCAACACTAGATTCTCTTTTGGATCTCCTGTCAGGTTTCATACTGTGGTTTACTTCCAATGCTATGAGAAAGCCAAACCGGTTTCACTATCCGATTGGAAAGAAACGCATGCAACCAGTGGTAAGATCACAATGCGATCGATAACTCCTTTAAATCCGTTGTTTAACATATTCTCGAAAAAACTTTTGCTTATTGGTTTTTATGCAGGGTATCATTGTTTTTGCATCAGTAATGGCAACTTTGGGCTTGCAGATTTTGATCGAGTCTGGTCGACAAATTTTTATAAAGGTAATTATTTGTTCACTAGTTTGAATTTGAGCTTAATCGGTTTTGTCGCGTGTAGAAGTGTTTTAAGTTTCTCTTCGTTGTTTTCTTACAGGCAAAGCCTGAAGTTGACCCAACTAAGGTAAATTGGATGATTGGAATTATGGTTGCCGTGACTGTGGTGAAGTTCGTTCTTATGATCTATTGTCGAAGATTCAAAAACGAAATTGTCAGAGCTTACGCGCAAGATCATATGTTCGATGTCATTACTAACTCTGTCGGATTAGCTGCTGCTGTTCTAGCTGTCAAGTACGCATGGTGGATCGATCCAACCGGAGCTATTATCGTAAGTACAACTATATCTTATTTTCTTCTCATAAATGGTGCACCAAACCATTGTAACGGCTCGGGTTTAAAAACACATAAATGATTATGAAATTTTTGTCGAATGTGTATTGCAGATTGCGTTATATACAATAAACACATGGACGAAGACAGTGATTGAGAATGTTTGGTCACTCATCGGAAGAACAGCGCCACCCGATTTCTTGGCAAAGCTAACATACCTTATATGGAATCACCACGAACAAATCAAGCACATAGATACTGTTAGAGCATACACGTTTGGCGCACATTACTTTGTGGAAGTCGACATTGTTTTGCCGGAAGACATGCTTCTGAACCAAGCACACAACATCGGCGAAACACTTCAAGAGAAACTAGAACAGCTTCCAGATGTTGAAAGAGCTTTTGTGCACATTGATTTTGAGTTCACTCATAGACCTGAGCATAAGATATCAGTATGATGATGACGATGATGATGATGGAAGGAAAGAGAGTTTTTGTTTGTCTATAGTTGCTGATACATGGGATTGTTTTTGTTATGTGATATACTAATGTTTACCGTTAAGTTTACTTCAAATAATTGCTTTTTTATTTAAGCTTGGTTGAAACAAAAGTCATTTTAAAGTAACTTATAAGATTTACGTTGGCTTTGATAAACTAGAGTCAATCGTTACATTTATTCTTAGATTTTGTATTTTTCTCCTTATTTCACATTACCTTTCTCTTTCAAGAATTCTGTAAGATGTTATAACGTCTATATTTCGCCTAAAGAAAAATATTATAAAATATATACAAAAATACATAATAATTATAATGACAAATAAACTCAGACTAAATAAAAATACAAGTAAATATATTTATTTACAATTTATCTTGTTCTAAAAATATTTTATGTAATTTTTCATTGTGAACACTTCTCTTTCTTTCTATATGTAATTAAACGATTATTCAAACACTTAATATTCATTGAGTTGTACATTTCATTTTTCAAAAAAAGATTTACAACTATGCTATTGAAACTAATTAAATATTTATAATACTTATTTGGTATAAAATATCAAATTAAAGAATTTACTTTTATAAATTGTAATTGTTGAAAAAATTAGAATATCAAAATAAAAATCATATTTTTAAATATTAAATGCATATGAATATTGACAAAAATTAATTAATACTACTCGCGAAGTGAAATTTTTATTAATCTTTGAATATTTAAGAAATGTGAGGAAGAAATAAATAATGTATATTGCACCTTTATAAGAAGATGAAGATCATGCATATAAAAATAAGAAAAAAAATAGTGCGAAGATTTTGATTAGGGATGGAAAACAAATCCGGAACCTCCTGTATCCGTCTGGGTTCGTTCCGAAATTAACGGAGAAAATTTGATTTAATTGGGTGCGGTTGCGGGAGAAACCCGATTCTTAACTACGGGTGCGGGGAGACACTAAGACCCGCCCGCACCTACACCCGCCCCGAATAATACATTTTAGTTTAATTCTCTTATTTTACTTATTTTAATATTTATTTATTAATTATATTTTTAATTAAATTATTAATACCCTTATTGCAATTAAATAATTAAATTAATTAAGTTTATATTTATTTATTTATTAAAATTTTAATTAAATAATTAATTAATTTATTAAAATAATTAATTTTTTAAATAAAATTATTAATTTTTATTACAATTAAAAAAAAAATTGCGGGTGGGGGCGGGGCGGGTGCGGGTGCACACGTTCTCCACTAGGGACAGCTCTGGGCGGTAAATTTTTACCCCCGAATAAATTTAAGGGCGGGTGTGTTACATAGAAGCGGGTGCGAGTGCGAGTATAGTTAAACGCGCCTCCGATCAGCCCCGTTGTCATCCCTAATTTTAATTTGCAGATTTGAAGCTTTTAGCTTTTTGATTAAAGATTCAAAATATTTTTAAAAAAATGGTAAGAATAAAAAGTTAATATACTTAAGTTTAGAAAAAAAGGTGTATATTTATAATTAATAAATATGTCCAAACTAATAGATTTTATAAAATATTATGGGGGCAACAAAATAATATAATTATAATATTAAAGAAAATTTGTATTTTTTTTTGGAGGGGGGCTTGAGCCCCATTGGACTGTGCATCCGTTCTTGTATGGAGTTTTCTATATTTTGTAAATGGAAGGTGTAACACCCTAAAGTTTAACGGGCAAATTATCGTATAATTTAATAAAAAGTACAACTATATAGGGTGTCACTCACATCAAATATATCATGTGTCGTAATATGGGTTACGTTAATTCACATAAAATTTGTCATTGCATACTCACGTTTACTTAAGGTATTATCGCAGCGGAATATCATTAAATAATTATTTAAAGGTATATTATCTCATGACATTTAGTTTCAAACTTCAACTTTCATAAAATAAATAAAGGAGTTATATTAACCAACTCGAACGAATCAGATGAATCTCCACGAAACAAACGGCATTTACTTCAACATAAGCGATGTAATAAGTAAAACAAATGTTTCCAACCTGATGTTACATAATCAGAGCAAGACACCGCTAATCAAAACGATAAACTAAGAAAGTACTCCAATAGTCAACTTCCACTTACTTCAGCGAGATCTACTCATGAGTATCTGCATGATACCCATGACAACATTAAAAAATAATGGGTGAGAAATACATTCAAGTTTCACCCACTTCACCATAATACACAATCAATATGCAATGTAACTCTCAACAATATTATAGATTCATATACATGTGGTACCAATCTCAACAATGGTTCTCATTATGAATCGAGTTCCAATCAACTGCGTGAAGGCGAGAAAAATACACAAGAAGGGGGGTTGAGTTGTGCTCACAAAATTTGTTTTACTTTTGAACCAGAGTTCAGATTCTAAAACTAAGTTTAGAATCTGATAATGAGTGCAGCGTGAAATGTAACAGAAGTAAAGTAAAAACAACAAAGAACACACATCAGTTATCCTGGTTCCTCTCCCAAAGTACTCTAGTCCTCTTGTCTTGCAAGAGATTTTCGACTATAATCAACCCGATTACACTTGCTTATATATACCTGTATAAGATTTTCCTTGCTCAGACCTCAGTTCTAAGACTTTCCTCCTTAATCAGCATCTGATCAAGACTTCCTGCTTAGATCCTCAGATCCTAAGACTTTTTTTGCTTAAACCACCTGGTTCAAGACTTTCCTGCTCAGACATACTGCCTAAGACTTTTCTTGTCCAGATTCTTGATCTAAGACTTCTCTGCTCAGATACAGTATCTAAGACTTTCTTGCTCAAGCCTACAACAAAAGACTTTTATCTAAACTAACTGTTTAGAGAAGGAATAACTTACAACAATACTTGATTGACAATCAGAGGTGTTCAAATATAATACAACACACTTTTACAAAGGATTCTTAAGTTATACAAGAATAAGAACTCATAATAGATTTTTCTTCTGATATGCAGTGCGTGTATTTCTCAGTTGTAGTTGCAGCGTTATTTTTTGAGTTGATCTTCAAATCCTTTTCTCCTTATATAGCTAAACAAGTATAATCGTTGGAGCATCCACAACAGCTATAATCAGATCAAATCTTCTAGTACATCTTCTTTTTCAATAAAGCAGATGTTAGAACTTTCAATCAAAGAAATATCCACAGAACAAGGCTTTTTGTCCAGAGGACATTTCTATGAGTCAAGTACAATACAACTTGTTGAAGAGAATGTCAATATATCTTAAGTCTCGTGTTAGCAGAACTGAGTTGGCACTACTCAGTCTCAGAGGCAGCCATAGCAAGCTTCTGACTCTGGAGTCTACTAGCAGCTGCTTTCTGACCAGACTATCTCACGAGTGTATGACCAGAACTGAACCAAAGTTACTTCTGTGTTAGAGTTAGTTTCATCAACTAAATTTAATTCTGCACAAACAAACTAGCTAGTTAGAAATCCTAATTATTTTTCAAATACTTTGTCATCATCAAAACCTTAGAGGATACATGGTATGAACCAAACTTGTCTCAAGAATCTCTCCCTTTTTTATGATGGCAACTTTAAGTATTTTAAAAACAATCAGTAGTAGATTAATTACTCAAAAACTTTCAAGGTCTGAGGTTTGTAAGCTCCCCTTGTGTCAAATAGTCTTAGAGGTGAGGTTTGTAAGCTCCCATTGAGTCCAATATGTGAAGTCTAAGAGGTAAGGTTTGTAAGCTCCCCTATATAGAATAATGAATCCACTCCAAGGGTGAGGTTTGTATATAAATAGGATCACCAGCCTCATCCGGATCCAAAATTAATCTAGAAGAATACTTAATCTGTTCTCCCCCTTTGACGCCAATCAAAAGGCCGAAAAAAGAAAAAACTTCAGTGATTAACAATGGTTTCAAAATAATTCATAGTTGAATACTAGTCAGGAACAAGTTTATCAATCAACCCAACTTGTTGTACATGAGTAACAACACCCTGTTGAACAAAAATCATAGAAAGAACCATACCAAAAGGAATGAGAAAGGATAATTCCTCACAAGATGTAAGTATCTCTTCTTTCAAATAATTGAACATAGACTGAGGAAGATTGATCTTAGTTCTGGAGACTAGTAACAGAATGAAGTGTTTGTCATTAGAAGAACCCCTTTTCTCTAGGCCTTAGATTGGTTCCTATAATTTGGTACCATACTTTTGCCATATAAGTAAGAGTAGAAGGACTTTCAGCAGGGCCTTTACTTTCATAGATGGTATGCATATGATTTGTAGATTTGTTCTTATGTCAATAGATCTCAACAGTAACTCCATCTTCCTCACAGTTTATTGCTTGAGAGATAATTTTATAGTTGATTACCATAAGGGAACCATATACAACAGACAAAATTTGACAATCACCTAGCTCAGTCTGATGAACATGAGCCTTTGCCCAAAAATCTTTCACAAGATCTGGATAGATGGGTCCATAAAGCATTGCAAAATATTCATCCCATTTCTGAAAATTAATATCTGAAACTCTCCGTGAAAGATTATTCACTGTCAATTCATCGAAGTCAGCTGAATATTATTTTAGAACATCTAAATCATTGATCTCTTCTTTAATGGTTTTTGAAGACATTTTTAAGAAGAAAAACTAGATTGAATAATAGTAATCGCACAAAATTATATTATATATCAGCTCATTGATAGATGATCAAATACTATTTGAGGTTAAGGAAACTCCTCTACCCTTTCATGATTTAGCACTCATAGATGAATAGTTTACCCCCTTACCTGATTATTCCAGCAAAGATGAAAGAATCCTTGAACTTTCTCTCCTAAGCCTTTCTTCTCCTTCCTCTTGCCCTAGCCTTTCTTTTCTCTCTTCCAAGTTTTTCACGTAATATGCAAACTGATTTTTCTCCCAAATCTCTCTTTTTCTAGTAAACATATTCCTTCCATTAGGATTTCTCTATAATACCCTCAAATTAACCTTTTAATTACCACATTA